GCGGGCGGGGTCCTGGAGCCGTGGAGCGGAGCGCCGATGTGGATGAAGAAGTACATGGGCGAGGTATATCCGCTGATGCGCGCGGATGGGGCGACCGGTGCAAATATTGGCCGGGGGGTAATCGTCATTTCCGCCGGGAGGCAATATTCTGTATCCACTCATCGCATGAATGGTGTTCAAACAAAGCTGAAAGTCCTCAGATTTGACCAGAGTCGGAAACCGATCTTAATACACAGTGTACTCTCCGGATAAAACGCTCAGATCCCAAATCCATACAGAGTCTTTCCACAGTGGCACAATCCGCCGACGACAGCCTTTGCAGACAAGGTGGCCCTGTGATTGATTTGAGCCCTCTTGTCGACGGTCGGTGGTCCGTATAAGCCACCGACCGCAACACGTATGACCTGCAAAAGAAAAATCTTCAAAGCACCGCGTGTCTCCTGATACATGAGCTCTGATGTGCGCTTGACACCCCCATGATGAAGGAGGCACATGATGTCTGGTTTCGTGATACCTGCGAGCGAAGATGCCAGAAAAACCTGGAGACATTACGAGAACGTCAACGCCCGTACCAGTGATCACAGGTGGGCGGATCCGGCTGAGGCTGGTTTTCTCGCCGCATCCAATTTTTTTTGGATGTAGTGTGTCATAACGACCTTGCCGCGCATCGAAGAGAAAACAGAAGCATAATTCAATAACTAGAACCTTTCGTACAATTAAACAGCTGCCTCCAGGATAAGCACTTTGGCCCCGGGGGACCGCGGGGCGATAGTACATCTCATGTCACTGGGATGGCTTCAGAGATGATTTTGATCAGCGTTGAACGAGGTCAGGTGATTTCATAGGTACTTGCCTTACAAGCCCATCCGTGAGGGTGTTGTCCGGCACAATAATCTCCCCACTCTCGTCCACGGCATTAGTGATCCTGCAGGTCGCCAAGATGGATGCGATGGCGATCCAAAGGCTGTTGTGTTGAAATGAGCCCCAGACTAGGACATCACTCAGAAGGGAAGAGACAGTACTGGGGGATCTCGTTGTAATCCGGTAGAGTACATGCCTGAAAGTACACTACTTATATACTACTACCTGATGCAATATGACTCAGTAACCTAGTCATATGTACAGTTTAACTATGACTCAACATGAGTCACACTGAGTCAGAACATAAAGTCGAAATGACTCGGTCCAATAAATGAGTCACACTGACTCAATTGATGGCGAGCTTGCAACAGCTCGCACAGCCACTCTATATTCCAACATGTTGTCGGCGACATACTGCCCCGTACAAATTCTGGGTTAAGGACCATGTTACATCCGCCATGTTTGAGACAGGGGTGAATGTAGCGGAACGAACCTTCGGCCGAAACCAAATGCCTGGTTGAAGTGGGGCTCCCCGGCTCCACCTGGTTTAGCAAGAAAGCGCTCGGGCTGAAATGACAACGGATTGGAGTACACGCTCTCGTCGAGAGCCATTCCTCTTGGAAAGTTTCAATCGGCGGGACGAGGTAATACTGACATGGTACTGACTTGATATTGGCGAATATCAGGGTGCCCTTGGGTATGAGCATACCGTTGTAGACATCATTTTTCGTTGCGCGATGAGGTACCCCTTCCAAAATGTCAGTTCCACCACGGTAATATTTGTGTTTAGCTTGACCTAAGGGCAGCACTTTCACAATCTCAATCAATGGCGAGTATCGCAGTTTCGCAGATCAACGTACCGGGGGTTCGAACTATCTCGTGTGTCTTCCAGTTAAAATTACACAATGTCCACGGATCGCTCGCCGCAGAGTTTCCTGGAGGATAGCCTCAACGAACGGCAGATCCCCTCGATCCCCGAACTCGGGCAAGCGCAGATCGCCTACGATAGAGTCTATTTCCTTTTGTGCCTTGGCCTGGATTTCGGGGTGAAGAACCATCGCAATGATGAATACTGTCAGGGTACTCCACGTCTAAAAATCCCGATCAGAATGAGACGGTGATTGCCAATAATTTCAAGAAATATAATCAACCGTGGATTCCCCCGCCGCAAACATCGTAGCAGCAAAGCCTTTGAGGTCTTCTACGTCTTCGCCGTCCTCCATCTATTCTAGGCGGTCGAGTACAAAGGATGGCAATGCTTCTCCATGTTCCTACCCAAACACCGGTTGGTATTTTAAAACGGATGAGATGTCAACGTCCTTGCCTGTTGTGTCTTGACTACGCGCACAGAGTGTTCATGGAGCTCTCTCACTGTCGGTCTATAAGCCTTCACAATGCCAATGTGACTGGCTCCGGGGAACCACGCCGGAAAGTGTTGCACTGCACGCATAGGATCAGCATGGTAGTATGATAGATAGGTCAAAGAGATTAGAACCTCACGCACGGAGAGGGAAAAAGTCGATCGGCCTGCCTCCTGGAGGTCCCGTCTTAGACATTGCCTTGGAGACGATGTCAGACATGCGCAGGTACGGGTCGTCCTCGGAAGTGATTCTATGGCCCGCCACGATCTGCGTAATTATACCTGTGGCAAACCTGGCCAAGACGCCGGTGAGAGCAGACCAGACCGCGGTTAAACGCACCTACCTACTCACAAAGGTCTCGTATTTGTCAGGAGGGCACTGGATCAGGTGTCGCAACAGCGTTCGTGCCTCCTGGGTCTGAATCGATTTGAAATCCTCGAGCCGACTGCGGCTCAAATACGACTGGTGCATTTGCCGATGTTTGTTGAATTTCTCTCCGTACTGAAGGAAGGCAAGAGTAGGGTCCCACCCGAGGCTGTATGTAACCTGTTTGTTGGATAATAGAATAAGATGTAGCATGATGTTCGGCGCACAGTTCATAGAGCGTGAACTTCGGTCTGTCGCTGTAAATCAGGCCCTTCTTGTCCAACAGATCCACGCAGCCTGGTACGAATCGAGTATGATCATTGGTCGTCCGAGAACTTTCAACAGCATCACTGGGCCTGGCAGAACACGTTAATTTGGCAGTGGATGAATGTCTCGTAGGGAACGCACCATATGTTTTGGACCACTCGTGGAATACCAGCGCAGAGTCCTTCGAGGGCATCCGTAGCAGATTTCCGATGAGCGGATCTCCTGGAGGTCCAGGAGGCAGCATAGAGGTTCGCTGCTTGTGCTGGACTAAGCCCACGATGATCAGAGCTGCTGTGATTGCAATGGAAGAGTACAGAACGACGGGCATGCTCATAGGAAAGAAGGAGTGCGTATCCCACTGGGCGTGCACAATTGGCTCATAAGAGGTGCTGCCGTCGGAAGCCGGTCAGGGTCGAAGCTCGACCCTGAAGATTCAAGAGCAGCTGACTGTCGGATGACCGCTGTGTGGAATCCTTTGCACGTCAACCGTTTGGCTCTAGTAAAACCCCTATTTGTCATTACTTCATTGTTTACGTAGTAAATACGTACCGTGTACTTACCACTATCCTCACGGCCAGTGCAAGGCAAGCGCCTAGAGGCTGCATCGACGCACCTCGCTCCTCTCTGGAAAGCCGTCAATGGGCTTCTAGCCACCAACAACACCATTTCTTCACGATCCTCGCTCGCACTCGTTACACCATTTTGAAGTTGGATGCGGAGAGTCGTGGCCCGTATTGCCAGCGATGAATCGGTGTGAGAGCCAAGTTTTTGGACGCGCAGCGATCCTAGGGATCCCCACCGTAACCGTACAACACCTTAATACGGTTACGGTTATACGGTTACGGTACCATACCGCAAGGCCTCTTCGCGCAGACTGTACGGTTACGGTTAAATTCGAACTCGATAAGCAGCAGCGAGGCCGACTTCGCAGTGGGATCTGAAGGTGTTCAGAGGTCCAAGGAGGTGAGATGAAGGCTATTTGATTGTGATAAAACTCACCCACCCTCTCTGGACGCCGTTAAATGGACCGGCCACCGTATATACCGTGTTTTACGGTATACGATACAGTCCGTAATCGTACCGTATGGCCCGAAAACCTTTACGGTACGGTGGGGATCCCTAACATGCTTACACGGTGTTTAAGTTATTGTTGGTGGATGTTCCTGCATATGAAGCCGACGAGCGAGTAGATCTAATAGGCACAAGCCTTGGAGGAAAGAGCTCTTACGCGACGATGATGGACTTTGAAGCAAAAGCGACGGTGTTGGCATTTAAGATATCGGTCAATTCGGCCCGAATCTCCGCTGTCCTCGCTCCGGCTTCGGCACCCAAAGCCAAAAGCAACCAAAACCGAAACGCCGGCTGTTTGCAACTCTTTCCTGGATACCTAAGCTCCTTGGATAATAGACCTGGAATAGAGGATAGGGGCGAAGAGTCTCAGTTTGCAAGGTGATCCAGGTTTTAATTGCTTCTAGCTAGATGTTTGTTACCTTCTCTTGGAAGTGTGTTAAACATGCATTGGAACCCAGAAAAAAAACTTAGCACCCGCGCAGGACGAAACCAAAACTCAAGCAACCACAAAATCGAACCGATCCTAAAAAGATGAATGAAGGGTCAACCCACGCACAAGTCCTCGGTGGATTCGAACCACCAGTACTCCCATATCGATCTGATTTTTTATTCCGCGGTGGCGAGTCCCTTTGCTCCACAAGGACTCTGATCTCTGGATGATTCTGGCTTCTGGATGTTAAACTTGGTAGCACTGGTACCAAATTGAAGACTGGTAACAAGCAACAAGCTGAAATACGTTGAAGTTGGTTTCTTTCGCTTTGTACCAGGATGAGTAACGAAGAAGCAGCATGCAATGGCGTGTGCGGGACGGCACGCACAGAAGAAAAACATATACAAGCAGTTTCAGTTGAGATGCTCCGTGGCGCTCTCGAAGCAAAGCAACACAACGCAAGCGGCGACTCGGACTCGGACTACTCGGACGGCGACGAGCGCAAGCTACGCTGGTGTGCATTCACATTTGCAGTAGTCTAAGGAAGCGAAAAAGAAACCAATCTGGCTGGAGAGCTCGAGGGACCGCTGTGAGACCTACTTATGCTACCACGACCAAAGAAAAAACAGAACACCTCGCTTTTATGTCCCCGGGTGGACTCGGACCACCACCTCTCCCTTGCAACTGCGTGTAGATCCTGAAGTCCCATTTTGCGGGAGGGAGCTGCATTGCTCCACGAAGACTTCTCCTTTAGTATTGTACGAAGAGGGTAGTACATACAGGGTTGTCACGATGTGGTTTTTCCACAACAGACCACAGACCGTTTCAGACTGCTCAGTGCTCCCGAACGTGTTCAACATACACGCTAGAATCAGTGACAGTGTTGACATAGATTAGGCAGCTGGGCGAGCTAGTGACCCCCAAGACTAGCCGAAAAAAAAACATCTAGAGAAACATGCATGTCTCCGGGCGGACTGGGACCACCATTTCTCCTCTGCTAATCCCCGCGCCCGCTGCCGCCGGGTTGATAATGTGCGACGCGCTGCCAGAAATCGACGTTCGTCACGCTCGTGGGGTCGTCGAATGCCGCGACGAAGCGGGTGAGCACAGGCCGCAGGAGGTGGTACCATGCTGTTGTCTCCAGTCCGTACTCCTTCAGCTTTTCGAGCCGGTTGAGGATATCCACCCAGTCCGACCGCTCCCCCTCGAGCGTGACGCGCGGGATCCCGCACCCGGCGAGCATGATCATGTACTGGAAGTACTTCTTCAGCGTCGCCATGAGGAGCACCGCGCTCACGGTGCGGTCGTTGTCGGTCGTGGTGGTGAAATCAGGCGTGGCCCATGCGCGCAGTTCCGGATCGACGACGTTCTCCTCGACGAGCCCTGCCATTTCACGCGCGATGAAGCCGAAATCCACCGTGTATCGATTCACGCCTTGGCCGACAACCTTGACGGTCAGCCGCTTCTGCCCCTCGTGCGCGACGAAGTTCGCGCGCAGGAGCTCCGCGTGCGCGTTGACGAAGAAGTTGAACTGGGACAGGATGGCGAGCCACACGTCGTCGGGTCGGATGACGACGGCGCGGTCCTGCGTGTATGCGTCCAGCAGCGTCGAAACGAAGCCGTTTGGGCTCGGCACGATATCACGGATCGTCGTATCCATGGACAAATTATATGGAACCTCTAAGCTAAGCGCGACATCGCACCGAGAGGTGGTTGAATTGACCAGAAAGCACGTTTTGTCCGTATCGGTGCCTGTGCGGCTTCCCAGCGCCGGCCCGAGGGAATATTGCAGGATCTCGCCCGCCTTGGCGTGCTGGTCTGTGCACGCGGTGGCGAAAAACCCATCTGCGGTGTGCCAGCCCGCCTGGGGTAGTGGGAACGGTTTAGCGGAGTGGGATGCGACGGCGAAGGAGACCGGCATGGATAGTGGAGGGCGCTGAGCGCTGTTGTCGAGTCAGCCGAACCTTTTATGTATGCACGCCAAGGAGTCAATTGGCCGCGTGGCGACACGTATCTCCTGTTCGCACATCAATAATGATCAAAAGGTATATGTGGATTTCGAACGGGGAATGAGCGTGAAACGGGCTTGGATATTGGGCCTTGTACTTGGCAAAGCGGCATTCGCGGACCAGTAGGGTTGAGACCCCGTCTTGTTTTCGTACCTTCGCTCGACAACGGCAAGTCAAAGGTCAAGTACTGGGAGGCTGCGGAAACACTGGGATCCCCAGATTGAGATTTTCCGCCAAGGAACTTAAGAGATCCCTGGTGCTGGCCACGCAGAAGAGGACGAGGCATTCGGGGTCCCAAAGTTACCGATGTCGAAGCCGAGTTGTGGAAAATTTTGACCGCAGATCAGAGTCTTGTATTCGGCGCCAGAGAGTCGGAGCTGCGTTGGTCTTCTTCGTGAGTAAGAGTCCGCCATTGCACCAACACCAGTTCATCAATTCGTCGGTGTCGGTACGCGGTTCATTGAATTCGGGCTAGATGTACTGTACGGCCGGTGCGGGGCGCGAAACTGCGACGCGTCGTTGGAGGATCAGGAGTCTGGAATGGCGAGGAGGTGAGCAGAACTAGTTAGACGTAAATCACAGTGAGCGTTGGCAGATGCACTGGAGATGCACTCGAAGCAGGAGACAAAGGGGGTAGCCAGTCCCAGATGGGTCCCAGAATGGTGTGTTAGAGCCACAAATCCAACCAAGAAAAGAGAAGATACAAGCGCAGGAGGCCTGTAACCCAAGTCGCCAGGAGGTCGTGGTGAGTAAGCAAAGGAAAATCACCACTTGATCCGGCTGACGCAAGAAATGTTATGATCACCAATAATGTCCCCGGGTAGACTCGAACCACCATCTCTCCCGTACACAGAATGAAAAAGTTGGAAATTTTGTGGGAGCGAGCTGCATTTGTCCACGGGGACTCTTTCTTGCTTCAAAGTTAACCCGCAGTTGTGCAGCATCGGTACCGGCGAGGTCGAGGAATTAGTCCAGCAACTGAGGTAGAATTGCAATCCAGATTCCAAGAGCGGCACATGCACGCGCAGCCTAAGTGTGTGTTGTTGGCGTGTTGTCCGAGTCATCTCTTGTACAGCTGCGCAAGAGAAAAAGAAAGCATTGGACGGCTAACTGGTCGAGGGACCTCCGCTACCATTGACATTCAAAAAAAGAAACCAAAAAGCTACCAGTAGAAACAAATAGAGAAACAGCGCTCATGTCCCCTGGTGGATTCGAACCACCAGCTCTCCCGGTATACACCATTCCTATGACTGCTTCGTATGTTGCGGGAGTGAGCTGCATTGCTCCACGAGGACTTGTTCCTTCTGTCTCTTTCTTTTACTCGTATGTAGGCTGCTTATACGTAGAGCGTGAGGGCCAAGTTCGACATTGCCGTAGCCATCTCTGAGCCGACATATCGCACGGTCCAAAAACAACTCAAAGCGAATTGGCGCCTCGGACTGCTGTGAGTTGAGACCTATAGTTATGGCATGCTACCATGAACAAATAAAAACAAGAAAGAAAGAAAGAAAGAAACAATCTCGAACCGTCCATGTCCCCGGGTGGACTCGAACCACCACCTCTCCCTGCGTAGGCGCATTTCGTGGGAGCGAGCTGCATCGCTCCACGGGGACTCTTCCTTTCTTGCATTCAAAGTTGAACCGTAGTTGTGCAGCGTTGGCACCGGTGAGGCCGAGGAGTCTGAATTAGACCGTGGAAATCAAATGCGATCGACGAGCGGCACACGCAAGCGAAGCGTGTCAATGTGTCAACTGCGCAAGAGAAAAAAACGACAGCTGGCGCGCTGTGAGACCTACGGTACGCTACCACGAGAAGAAAGAAAGAAATCCAGAATTTACTGGCATGGGCAATAAAATAAAAAGCCATTCGGCACTTTATGCTTAGCCATCATGTCCCCGGGTGGATTCGAACCACCAGCTCCCCCGGTATGTATATCATGATTCATCTCATAAAGCCACATTTTGGGAGTAAGCTACATTGCTCCACGGGGACTTGTTCCTTGTATGTAGGCTCCTTATACGTAGAGCTTGAGACCCAAGCTCGACTTGCCGTAGCCCATCCCTGAGCCGACATATCGCACAGTCTGAACGCAATGCAAAGCAAATCGGCGCCTCGGACTGCTGTGAGTTGAGACCTATAGTTATGGCATGCTACCATGAACAAATAAAAACAAGAAAGAAATGAAGACAGAAAGCAAAAACCCGACCGCTTCACTTATGTCCCCGGGTGGACTTGAACCACCGCCTCTCCCTGCGTATGCACAGATCGTCGAGCCTATTTCGTGGGAGCGAGCTGCATTGCTCCACGGGGACTCTTTCTTGCATTCAAAGTTGAACCGTAGTTGTGCAGCATCGGTACCGGCGAGGCTGGTGAGTCTGAATTAGTCCTGTAACGGAGGTAGAATTTGCGATCCAAGAGCGGCACACGCACGCGCAACCTAAGCCTGTGTCGTCCGAGTCTGACCCATCTCTTGTACAGCTGCAAGAGAAAAAGAAAACATCGACGGCTGGCCGGTCGCGGGACCTCCGCCACCATTGCCACGAGAAAAAAGAATTCGCAATCAAAAAGCTACCCTGAGAAATAGGCCAAAAAGCAACGTCATATGATCAACATGTTCACAATGTCCTCGGGCGGATTCGAACCGCCATTCCTCCCCTGTACCTGTTCCACGGTCCCATATCTTGTGGGAGTGAGCTGCATTGCTCCACGAGGACTTGTTCCTTCTGTCCCTTTCTTTTACTCGTACGCGTATGTAGGCTGCGGCTGCTTATATGCAGAGCTCGAGGACCAAGCTCGACTGTAACCGCAGCACCCAGCACCCAGCCGTCCACCGCTGTGGCGAGCAGCTGGAACACCCGGTCGCGCTCGGAAAGAACTGGGCCGGTGCGCTCAAATATCGACAAAGCGCCGTGAAATCTATATACATAGCTATACTCGGTCCCACGACAAAAAGAACACTCCGTCGAGTAATGTCCCCGGGCGGACTCGAACCGCCGTCTCTCCCTGCCTAAACTGTACCTACCCGACGACATTATTTTGCAGGAGTGAGCTGCGTTGCTCCACGCGGACTTGTCAGAGTGTGCTGTTGTACGGGCAGACAGGGTCGGTTTGGCGCCGACGCGCAGCCGCCGAATGCGATTGATTGATTGTTTTAACATCCGCATTGAGTGCCTGCGAGGCGCGCTGTTACCAAGTAGATGTAGATGTAGACGACTGCGGGACTCGGCGCCACGCATACACCACGCCACAGAAGGCGCAATCCTAGCGCGGGTCAACGGCGCCTCGGCATCTCACATCTCATCACACGGGGGCGGACTCGACCCGACTGAACTGACGCGCGCGCCGCACGTCGCCCTTGCACGTCGCCGGTGCGGGGGAAGGAGCGGCTCGCGCGCGAGCATTCGCGCGCGGGGGCGAGAGGGCGAGCGGGGCGCGCTGGGGCGAAGACAACCGCGCGGCGACCGAGCAACGACGCCGAGTCGCGTCAGAGCAGACGGCAGGCGAGGCGGGCACCGGCCAAGTCGAGCCAGCTCAGATGGCGCGCGGAGGTTGAGCATGTTGTAGGCACAGGCCGGCAGAGCCTCAAGGCGGGCGAGACGTTGAGCGGACGGCGGCGATAGACGGGGATCCGATGGGGCCGCACAGGACAGATGAGGTAGGAACGGCGCAAGTGAATTCAGAGTAACAACACACGGTATCGCATTCTACTGCTTCCACTCTCCCACAGGCGCCGA